GTGCAAGTACTGTTTACGAAAAATTGTATGTTCCAATGTCCCTGTTGTATTAAAAGTTTTGCTGCCGCCGTTGTAACATTTTCATTAAGATATTTACGGTGTCGAGGTTTAATATTTTCAATCCCCTTCGATTCAAGCGCGACGGCGCGTTGCGCCTCTTCATTCCTTCATACTAAATTTTCTTGGAAACAAGTCTCGAATGTGAACTTTGTTGAAATGCAATTTATTTCAGATTAAAGGTGAAGCGAAGCTTTCTCAGTTTGTACTTTGCAAGTACTGTTTACGAAAAAAAAGTATATTTTAATGTCCCCGCTGTATTAAAAGTTTCGCTGCCGCCGTTGTAATAGTTTCATTAAGATATAACGTCGAGGTTTAATATTTTCATTAAGGTGTTCATATTGTTGATTTCAAAGAACTCGTCTTTAAAGTTCATGATTTCAGTCACACACACATATAACGCATAGTGTAACAATGTGTGTTCTTAGGACAATGCACGCATATAAAGAAAAACATGTATTTTTTTCAGAGTCCATATTTTGCTAGCATGTTTTCCGGTTCGTGGAGAGAAGCTAACGAAAAAGTCATCAGTGTCGAAATCACAGATCCTAATATTACGATAAATTGTAAGAACACATCACGGAATTAAACATAGAAATTACTCTGCCTAAAAAGACTGAAAATCGTATACGACGGGATGTACACCGGTTGTTCGTTTAGAAATAATATCTACGGCTGTTGCAGCGCTGTCAGTGGTGTTGGGTTCGTTGTACCAGGACGAGGTCAGTTTGGAGCCGAAGGAGGTGGTTTCTATTCTGGCAACGTCCACGCTGTTTCAATTGCAAGGCTTAATAGACGAGTGTGTGGACATAATGATAGAGACCACAAATAGCGAGACTGTTGTGCGGTATTATAACGCAGCTGCGTCGTACGGTGTGTCTACTGTGAAAGCAGCTGCGAAACGGTGGCTGGAAGTCAATCTATTGGGTTACGGTTGGCGACATCCGGCCTTTCTGAAGGAAATTTCCCCAGGCTTGATGACAGAATTGGTCGCCAGTCCGGATTTGGTCGTTTTGCAGACAGAATTCTGCATATACATGATGTTGCGCTTATGGTAGGTTTATAAATGCAACACACGGATATTTGATTTGTGACAGTGATGGAATCAGTGTTTTTCTTATATAACTGTGAGTGCTCCATGTTGTCATCCAGGTTATTCGCGCACACACACAATTACGAGGAGACGCCAAAAATTGACGAGTACTTCAAAAATCACAAGTGGACTGAACCGTTTTTGACGACCAAGGAGGGCAGGGAGTACGCAGCGCCTTTTAAAGCGCTGAAGATGAAGTATCTGCTGTTGCACGAACAAGACGACAAGATTTTGTACAATGACAATTTAATACCACCGGACTGGTTGCACAGTGCTTACAGAGAGCAGTGGCTTCACTTGTTAAGAGTGGATGGAAATAAAGACAGAGGGTAGGCTATAAGTAGCGCAATTGAATTTCTTTCTTTAATAGAATCAATATAGACAGGACTACCTATTTTCTGCTCCACGTGCAGTCCGGCGCAAATGACGGAGGAGGAGTTTTCCAAGGAGTGCTTTCGGTGCGGTAGATGCGTCGAGAAACCAGGCGAGCACATTTGGCGATGGAAGGCATTCCACTATGGACTAGATTTACTAATGACCTTAGACACAACTAGCCTGCGGATTGAGAGAAATCACAGAATGGACTGCGAGCATATCAAGGCGAATCACAAGGAGCACAAAATACTAATAAAGTAAGAGACAAGCACTGATAAAGTGTTATCGACTGGTTGATTTAATAGCTTAGATCAAAGTTAACGACGGAAATATGAAATTCTTTCTTAGAGTCTGCCTATTTTCACTGAATGAACAACGCCAGGTGAAACATGTCCAGGACTCGCGTATGCTGAGATTACGTTTGAGGAGAAACACAGAGGTAAGTTTAAGAGCGACGACGTGTGTTCTCATATAATTTACGCGTTGTGCATCACGTCACGTATTAGCATCCTTTTCAGCACGAGATAATGACTCTGGACAAACAGTTATGTTATCCTCTGTACATATCGGTCAACATGCAACTAGTCACTCCACTCACATTGGGAGAAGAGGACACGTCGACCGACATACTTTCGGATACTTAGCATTTCGAGAATGTAATGCTCTATGAATATGTAAAGATAAAGGACATGGGATCCAACTGACGCTTTGTAACATATTCTATTTAATTACGAATGTTAGACCAAGTTCGTAGGCACACGTTACTATTTGGCACAACACTTAAATAGAAAGAGACATAGATCTCCAATAGAAACTTTTTTTTTTTCTTCGTGGAGATACACAAAATCTATTCCTACCGTATTCATTTATAAGTTCTTTAGTCAATTTGGCGTCGACTTTTCCTCAATGAAAACATTTCATAACTTTTATTAAATTAACAGCAAATAACAAACGAATTAACATCATCTAAATAAATAATAAAGTCATGCTCTTGCAATAATTTTAAACAGATTTTAATAAAATTTTTATACGTTATCAAGATATATATATTAGAAAATTGAGGAAAGTCATAAATGTGCAATTTAATATTTATAATAAGAAAAACGAGCTATGTTCAAATTGGCTAAAGAAGTTGCCATTAAAAAGTAATACGGCAGGATTGAAACTTTCGATACACACTTGTATATCAATGTACATTAATGCAGTTGATGCGGTTGATGCATTTAATGTGGTTCACATTAATTATAGTGGTCATTCCAAGCTTTAGTCACTAGGTAGATTTTAATCTTTCTTCGTATACTGAGAGAGACATCGTGGTGTGTAATAACGCTATTAAATAATATTTTAATGTGATCGTTCCTAGACACGTTTTGACTGATTAATCTTGCATCGCAGATAAATCGAATACAATGCATAATCAAAATTCCGCTCGTATCTCTTCAGTATCTTGATTCGTCTCTGTAATTGGTTTGTAACTTCGCAAATGCCAAATTATTCTATTAGAATATTATATTAGATGAGGGCCGACTGTTTTTTTCGATGTCCATTGACTTTAACTAATCGTACGATCTCTGTCTTTTCCCGTAGTCGAGCAAGAAGCGAAGAATCTGTAATTAAAGTTAATTGATATCGAAAAGCGGAGCGTTTATCGAGATCGAAATTTATTAGCAAGTTACCTGTTTACACACGCTTTTAGTTCGAAATAGTTTACACTTCATTTGCAAGACTGTTCGCATCTCGTGTGTCATTATTGCAGTATTAAATTTTTATTTACATTACTGAAAGTTTCATAAAAAAGAACTGAAGGACTTGAAAATACGTCACATTTTTTTTCTTACGTTGTATTCACTATTCGTAAGAACGTAATTGAGAGAGAAAACGTGGATATTTTATTTAAACGTGTTATTTGGGGAAATGGTCGAACGCTCTTCCGTCTTCCTGTCAGCAAAGAGTTTTCTTCGATTCTGGTGCCTTTTTAATATTTACTAAAAAGGACGAAACTAATGCGTAAAAGCGACTAACTTTCATAATACGCATAAGATAATAAATTTTGTAGCATTTTCTTTTGTAAAAGTTTTCTTACTACGACAGCTGTTTCGATGAAATTATAATAAAAATGTAAACACGTAATTTATACGATTTCTCACGTTACCTACCTTTATAAGATCTCGCCGATGCTTGTATCAGAAGTCCTAGTTTGCTGTAATCGCATTAGTAGAGGAAAGTTATGAGATAGGTTCTTAATATGAGATAGCGGGGTTTCTGTTCAATTAATGGTCATCATCTGTTGATTCCACTATGAATTTATTGCCCTTGGAGTGAAATCTGTTTAGTGGAAAATTCATTGTTAGATCGTGTAATCGTTGCGAAAAAAAATTTGCGATTGAATTTGTGTGTTGAGAAAACCTGCTATCTCATATTAGAAACTGAATGAATAGAGGACTTTCCTCTAATATTTTGCGCGTAAATTTTAGAATCGAATATCGCGCAGCCTCAATCGTTACTTTTTGACAGTAGCTCTGCGAGGCGCGAAGCGCGCATTTAAACTGAAGAAGGATGCTGCCGCGTGAAAGTCCGTGCAAGGAACACATGCCGCTATTTTATTAATCGTTCAACACTTTATTATTGGCAGAATACTTTTTCTCTTTCTCTCTGTACATGATATATGATGTTGTAATGTCACTCGACGATGATCATTACGAACATGTTCAATGAGGCTTGAGATACATCGCATTTCTCTCGATACGTGTCGCAGGCAACGGCAGTCGTGCGTACGTTCTTAGACTTTCGTAAGTTCTACACTTTTCTGGAAGATAACGACGCCGTCGATCTTAATGTAACGTTTTGACGGAGAGATGGTGCGCCAGCTTGAAAACAGCGACCTATAACTAAAAAACTTTCACGTAACAATATCACGATACTTTATGTTACAATTTTATATTAGTGCAATAGGTATGTGTCGCTACTTTCAAATTGTCCCTTATAGAAATGTATGCGGAATAATTGCTAGAAAATTACTGTACATCAATAATTTCTAATAATTCAATTACTGAACTCTAGTAACTGTTCAGTGCTTTCTTCGTTCTCAGTTGTTACATTTCTGTAAGAGATTGCAGCTATTTTATTTTTTATTAACTGCAAACTGGTATTTCCTGCTCTTTTTACTCTCTTTTTTATATTTTCTTTTTTTGATAGAGTATTATCTGATCATTCGGCAACTACAATATTTCTTCGCTCCGAGAAGATTGCAAAATATTCGAGCCGCGTAAGAAACGCCACGCGAGCGATTTCGCTAATTAATCGCGTTAACTGTTCTATATATAGTTTTGAATATACATGAGTAATTGCAGGACGTATTTTTAGTGCGATACGATCGTCGTAGTTTCCCTCGAAAGTATAACGCACCGCAGTCGTCGCAGAACAACGACATTTCCAATAGTTTGCAACCGACCTGTTACTTGCGACATATATCGAGAAAATACGAAGCGAATCATTTCAACAACAAGAACTCCACGTTTCTTCCGATTGTCCGGGCTGTCCCGGACGAGAGATTGAATAAGGTCAATCTCGAGACGACGAAGGAGACGAAAGAGAGCTCTTCTTGGAAGTAAATCTCTCACTATCGGATTTACATACGAAATCAGTTGCGAAAGCTCGTAAACAAACATATCCGTCGTTGTAGAATGATAGGATATGTAAAGCGTTGACGCGAACTAGAAGGATATTCCATTCGCGGTTCTTATTCTACGGCTGTCTTTCCTATACGCAAATGTCTGTCTACCGGTAAGAAAGATAAAATCACACCTTTAGACTAAAGTTTTTGTTCTAGAGCGAAAAGATATGAACTGTAAGCGATACGGACTCGACGCTTTTTTTCCCCCCGATTAACGCAACCGACTTTTCATGCAAATCTGATAAGAAAAAGTTTATATCCCGTCCTAATTATTCTATAACAGGGAAGAAGGGAGTCGCGGGGAATCGCAGAGGTGGACGATTTCCGTTTGACATTTATCCGATTTACATTGTATGTATTGTAAATTAACGAAGATCACGTGGTTTCGGTGTTAATTACATCGCAGAATTAACACGGGAGAAACGTGACTTTTATTAATTTACGATCCGCAACAGTTGTCAGAATTGAAATCGTTCGTTTCGCCCCTCCATATCCACGCTGACTTCTCCCTTTCTTCTCTACTTTATTCCCCCTCGTTCCCAAACTTATCGGTACCATCACATCCTTCACGGTTGTTGCCACGCTCTAATAATAATTAGCGGTATTATTTGTAACAACGGATCGGTAATGCACGTACTAATCATAACTATAATAATAATAGTAATAGTAGTGATGGTAAAATAGCACCCCAGTGAGCGCAAACTGTCCGCCGTATGGTAGCAAATTCATCAGAAATTGCTGGCAAATCGGCACCGCTCGTGTCCACATTGAGCTCGTACTTTACCGACCAATGTCCATTTCAATCAATGCAGATTTGGTCAAATTCATTTTTTTATCTCTTTCTAATCCCTAGAACTAAAAAGTTCATTTGAACCGCGAGATTTACAGTTAATCTACGTCGGTAGAAATGGGCGTAAGTCCGCTGACATAATTCGACGGTAGTTTGGCGGCGGAAACCAGGCAGAACCCGCCGAACGTAGATCTTCCTGCTCCAGTTTCGTCGCCAATCTGCGTCAAACTGCGCAGAAAGCGAACACGATTTCAGTCATCAGTCGGCCAATCATATTTTATTGACAAATATCGCTATAATTCTGGCAGCGTTCTGCCAACGGGCACGCGCCAGCTGCTGTAAACGCCTGTGTCCACGATGCTAGAACCCGGTCCAAGTTTCAAGAAATGTGTAGCTAATCAACTTGCAGCTATTCCATAAAAGCTGCAAGTCGATCGGCTACACATTCCTCGGGGCTAGAACTTGGACCGAGTTCTAGCATCGCCGACGAAATTTGTAGCGGACAACTTCGCGGAATCCGTTCTCGACAGACTTGGCTGACTGGGGTAGTTAATGCGAGCATATCGATGGCGGTAACGGCAACGATAGGTGGTAAATAGGTGGTAAACAGCAGCATTAGAGACGATCACTTTGCAGAGCTGCTAGAGTGACATAATTTATATTGATCAAGCGCCTACTTCATCTAATTTCTCACCCCCTCTTTCCTTTGTCGATAAACCATCTACTTTGTCATTATATGTTATTGCTCGTTCGTCACACTTGCCAGCACGTTGCTGTACGTTGCCATCATTATTACTATTATTATTAGCATCAGTATTATAGAGGATGTTCGATTGTTGCAGTTTAGGCGCGTACACATGGCAGTTGCTGTAAAATGTTCTGTTCTCTTAAAAATATCACGAGTAGTCTCCGAGTTGCGAAAAGAAATTATTTTCGACGGATTTTCCTGGTGAAAAAGAATCTCGCAATGTTCATAAGAATTTTTCGTATTTTAATTTTGTGAAAGTTACTAAAGGAGGTGTCTTAAACTCTTTCAGATTTTATGAAATTTCTTTGGAAATTAGAACGAGAGGTCTTGGGATATTTCAGAATTCACGTAATTCGTGTAAAAAGAAAACCTGAGAAATGTTCTAAAAGGTTACAAATTTCGTATAAAATTCCCAAGAGATTCCAAGAAAATTTTTCACCGGGAATATTTCGACTTGGTGACACACTTCACATACGCTTAAAAAAATCGTGAGGCGAAACGTCGCTAAATTTCGGCAACGAAGGAAGAGCTTCCGAACCGAAACCGCCGTTCACCACACGACACGCTTATCACCGAACATCCTGTATTTACCGAACACTTATTATTACCGAACGCCCCTTCCTTCTAACAGCCGCAAGGCAAAAAGAGCAACAACGGATTATTAAGGGCCGGTTTCTTTTTCCAACGTCGCGGTCAACTGATTCCTTTATCTATATTGGCGGCGCACATGCACGCGTTCTAAAATGAGACAGAGGAGGCTCTTTGGTTGGTAAATTATATCGGACACTTTACTCGAAGGTGCAACAACCGACCCTAATTGAGCTATCGAGTTTAGCGTTACGCTCAATTAATTATTGCATAGACACGCGCAAACATACCAAGCATTCGAAAAACGCATACCAAAACGGCGATTATTGTACGCTCAGGTGACTCAGGCTTTAAACTGCACTTGTTGCAAGGTTCTGCGAAACACGGAATAATCGTGGACGCGACGGCGGATCTTCGACCCTTTACCGCGTCTAAAATTGCGAGGTCTCTCCCGGCATATCGTCGATACATTATACCCCTTATCCCGTTCTTTACACAGTTCGTCTTACACGGAATCGTTTAAAGAGGCGGTACGTCGTATCCGTTCAGATTACATCAGCTTAGTTCAGAAGACGCGATACCAAGTGGAGTGATCGATCTCGAGATATCAAGTGAACAAAGAGATATCCTGATAAACGTAACAATTTTCGAAAAATGAGCGACCATACTTTCGATAAAACGATTGTTTGTCGACGACGCTGTGTAAACGTCTTTGTGACTTCTCTCTTCGTCTCTTTCTCTCTGTTTTGCTAAATTAAAAGTAATAATGTAATTTATATGCATGCATTATCATGCACAGTTGAATTGTAATTCTGCGTTGCGAATTGACGATAATTTAAACGGGCAAATCTTACGTAAATTAGGAAAAAGATTATGTTACATAATTGCGCCACGATTGAGCTGCGATGCGCGATAGACGCTGAAGTAGGCTGAAAGGATGCGTCTCGTGTTTGTATCCGGTTCCGTTTCGCGAACGCTACGTGTGTCGGTTGCACCTCTAGAAATAAGCATGACCCGTCGATGTCGCGTGCAATTCCATTTAGGCTTTTACTCCAACAACAAAATATATTATTTATGTATTTACTTGTTTTCCCTCACTTCGCGTGCGTGTATACGTAACGTCGTAATTATGCGTACACACATACGGGGCAGGCACCACTTCATGCACAGACACGCAAAATCAGTGTTCAGCGGTAGCAGGCGAGGTGCGAAAACGTGTTATCGCGATGCCGCTACGTTTGTATTTACTTGTTACCGTGTGTGACTCGCTTTTGCGTTTGCTAAATCATAAGTTCTCGCGAGGTATCCGCCTCCCATGCTGCGCCCTACCGCCCGTTCGCGCGCTCGTCGCGTGACGAGACTCGCGGCTCGTTCCCGTTTACGAAGGTAGGCGAGCCGACGGGAATCGATGGGAATGCGTTCTGCAGAGATTCGCGAGAGATTCGTCCCCTCAATCTTCCTGCCGCGAGAGAACCGCGAAGCTTCGCGGACCCAAGAGACTCCGCGTTAACGTTGCCGGAGAACGGACTCTGTGAATTTCTCAATGCGCGCATTGAGGGTCATTTGAGTTTTGGGACTTTAGACGGGCAAGGGATCGATAAATTGGCTGCAGAAGGAATTCCTGATCGATTCCTCTTAGTTTGCCTGTGCAAAAAATAGTCTGGAGATTCTCTGTCTAACGGCCGATGAGTCGCGAGACGAGCGCGCGATGTCGGGGCGTAACACGAGAGGCGATCGATTTCGAAATCCCCCCCTTTTTTTTCTCTCTCTCACGCAGAGGCCGTGGTATCTTTTTTGCGTTTTCTCTTGTTTTTTTTCCTTTTCTTCGCGGAGATATGTATACTACTGAAGTGTCGCCCTCGCGCGTCTGGCAGTTATCACCGTTACGCTACGTTAATTAATCTGGCTATGTTACGGACCGTTCGCAGCCAAAGACACCGGGGAGTGGTTCCAAAATCTAAAATCTCTTCGTTAACGATGGAAATGCGATAATTGTCTACGAGAAGTTCGCGGAGCGTGCGTCATCCCTCGGCGCGTCTTCGGGGAGCCTTAGTGGGTACGATCGCGCGAGAGAAACCCGAGGATTTTTCAAGCTCACGTCGCAAAACCGGTCGCAATCTCGAGAAATACGGGGCGCGACGCGTCGGATTCGTTGTACAATTCGAATATCCGACCCCAGAAATAAAAAGAGGGAAAAAAATTCGATCGCTCGAGGAGTGCGAGGTTCGTTTTTCGTTGGCGGCGTGGAAAACGATTGACGCCTCGATCATAGATCCGGCACGGTTCAATTAGGCCGAGAGCCGGTAATTACGATAGGCGGAAAGTCGAAACGGCGAAGGATCTCTCTCGGCGAACGGCGCAGCCGTCCTTTCGCGATCTTCTCGCAATCTCTTTGCAATTCGAGAAACCGTAGATCGTAAAGGGAAATTTTTTGACAGCGACGGTCGATGGGGCGTCCGACCGAGCGGTCACCCTCCGAGGGGAAGAAGATCGGTCCGCGAGTCCTGGTGCACGAACGGTCCGTGGCGGCGCGACGACGGGCCGGAGTGAGCGGGGAGGAATAGATTCGCAGGGATCCTCGGGGTGCGACTCGGACGAGAGACTAGGCAGAATTAGGTCGTCGAGAGGGAGATGCGGGGCGGCGCGGTCGGGCACGATAGGAGCAGGCTCGGTGTCGCCAGCACGGCAGTCAGGAGGGACGCCAGTGGCAGTAGGGACGGCGTGCGGAGACTCTCGACGGAGTTGCACAAATCACTGGTGCACGAGCAGTATATCGCGCGCACATCGTGGGTGCCGCTCCTCATAAGGCACTCGCCGTTGTCCTTCTCGTCCGTGATGTAGCCGCAGCTGCGGACGACCCTCACCTTGCCGTATACTGCAACAGTAAGCGGGAACGGTACCGGCCTGTACTTGAGCCCCCTCGCTGCTCGCGCGGGGGATCCCGACTTGCTTGGAGATCTGATTGTGAGATGGAGCTTAGATCGAACTTTAAGGGCCAGTTTCACAAAGGTTAACTGTTAACCAAAGGTTAATTGGCTCTCTGTCTCTTCTTAGGTAATAAGATAGAAAAGGATAGGGAGTCGACCGAACTCTGGCTAACAGTTAACCGACGTTTGCGAAACTGCCCCTAAGGCCCGGTTTCACCAAACGTCGCTTGACTTTGTCAGCTTAGTTCGTGTTTGTCTCTTTCTGAAGTAACAGTTGGAAAGAGATAAGGAACGAATGAAGCTAATTGTCAGCTTAAAGTTAAGCGACGTTGGTGAAACCAGGCCTTAATCGAAGATAAACCGATCGCTCGTGTTTCGAACTTGTGCACCGACGATCGATGATAGATTTCTCGATCGATTTGGATTAATTCCGCGAACAGAAATCCGCGTGTATAATAATAATAATTGATAACTTCGGTCCAATCGCATTGGCAACTTCTTGGAGTTCTAATGTTGAAGTGATATTATTGCAACGTTATTATTTCTAGAATGTAATATGAGCGTGGGGGAGTCGGAGATTCGTGAGCGGCAGATGAAAGCACGCCTAGCTTGTGGTATAAAAGGCATTTGATTGAACAACGACGAATCGAATTTAAACGAATGCGGCGAATCGTTGCGGTTGCGAGCTGTAATTTTGAAAATTAACTGTTTTAAATTAATTAAATGTGGGATTAGATTAAACGGAGAACCGACAAGCGCGGATTATGGCAAATATATGAAACTTTCGAAATTTCCATTGGCTCGAGTCTAATTCATCAGACGTGTGTGATGCTGTGGAGACAAAAGCGGCCTCACCTTTTTGGCTGATTTTTCGGCAAAGGGTAGGCTCTAAGTAACTGAGGTGCTCCAGACGAGGCTGAAAGCTGCAGTTCACAGTCCCCAAACTGTACGAGTCGAACGGGTCGCCACATCTGGGGTCGTACTCGCTGTTGCACTGATAACATATTATCGCCTCACCTGAAATAAAAAGGGGAAAGGAAATCGATCACCATTTGCCTCGGATTCAAGTTAGGGATTCGATGCCAGAGCCGTTTCTTCAAATCTCTAAGGTCCAGCTTCACCAACGTCGCTTAACTTTAAGCTTGGCTCAGATCATTCTTTGTCCCTTTCCAACTGTTCCCTTAGGCCCGGTTTCACCAACGTTGTTTAACTTCAAGCTTGGCTTAATTCGTCCTTTATCACTTTCAAACTGTTACTTTAGGAGGAGACAAACACGAATTAAACTAAGATTAAAGTTAAACGACGTTCGGTGAGACCGGGCTAAAGGGTTTCTGTGATCCCTCAACGTGCAACGCGATTTGAACGGAGGCGGCTCGTTCTTACGCATTTACATGAAAGATTGAGCGGTGTGTGGGCACTCTTCGTGCCCTATGAATATTTTAGACGACGGAGATTTCGCCGACAGATTCGGCGGACGTTAGCGGCGATGAGGATTAATCGAGAGGAGGGGGAGGGGGGAAGGTCTGGTTCACGTCGTCTCGCGCTTCTGTGACGTAACGTCGGCACGCGCGCCCGGTCGACCGGTCGCATCCCACGGCTACCGGAACCGGGCTGATACCGCGCGCCAGCTGATATCGAACAGCGGGGGGGAAGGGGGGGGGGGGGGGACGCGCGTGGAGACCCGCACTCAGCTGTCGCTCGCGGATCGATACGAAGAATCCGAACTCTTGCACGTGGATACGGAATTAGGCGATTAGGAGCAAATATAAGTGACGTCGGGCTCATACCACCTCGCGGCGAATTAATATTCAGCGACGCGGACTCCCCCCGGGGCGATTCGCCTCGCGTTTCTTATCGCTCGACCTACCCCCTCGGCTTCCGTCGATGCACCTTTTTCGTCCCCCCCCCATTTTTATGCATTACTCCCGCGCTATTTCACCGTAATACCTCTCCGTATTATATCCGACAGTATTACGTAATGTAACAGCAATATTATAATATTGCAGTGATATAACAGTAATATTGCTGCAACACATCAGATTCCAAAGTAGCGCAAGATGATGTCAAGTGACTTTTTAATGACGTTACGTTTTATTGCGTTATTAAGACGTCGTGAAGACGTTATTAAATGTCACGTTGTTATTTGACACTTTCCAATGTACATCGCATTGAAGTATGAATAAAATATTATAAGTAATTTGTAATATGGCAATAGTCATCTTTGAGAATGACTTATAGAAAAACGTATTATTAAACAATTATTGGAGAGATTACACAGTTTGCGACCGTCTTGTCCGTAGGGCCATCGTACCCGGGTTTACCCTAATCTAATTCCTTGCAATGTTACAGTAATATTACGTGATACATCACGGTAATATTATTGTGATCGGCACAGTAATATTACTACGATTATCTCGGTAGTATTTCGTTGGGCGGACATTTTAATATTACTGTGATATATCAGTAATACAGTAATATTTCCGATGTATTTTATATCGCCAACGCGTACTGGAACAAAATTCTAACGTTTCGAAAACGAAAATTGTCAAAAAACATTTGTACCAAACCAAGAAATTGTGTATTGCCACTTGCCGCTTGCTATTACAACTAATCTGCTTTGCGCCCTGGGCAGTATGTGTATAAAATTTACACAAAAGAAATTTCCCCGTGCTCTAGATATTCTTACAAGCAGGATCGAACGCGAGCGTGTCGAAAAGCTTCGCCGCGGTGAATAAAACTTTAACGATACTTGAATACACGAGAGCGGTATTTCGTCAAGCTTGGAGAACCGAATTTCATTCAAGCCGAACTCGCAATTGGATTAGCCTCACCGATAACCGAATAATTTGCGAGTGATCTACATGATTTATTTCGTGTGCGTTATGCAAATTCCATTTGCCCGCGAGACCGGGACAGAATTCGGATGAGCGGTCATTGTTTGGCGAGCAAAGGTTTACTCGTCGTTGACGTACCGGGCACGCGTCGCCTGATGCCCGTGCATCATTACACGAAATACAGAAATTGATTTTTTTTTAAATATAGAATCGCGCGCACGCGAAATATAGGACACAAACGGAATGCACTTAATCATCAATGAGGATACCGAGTAGATAGATGAATATGCAAAAGTCTACGTTTGACGTTGAAAATTGTTTTCTCGGCGTAAACAAATTAACCTTTCGGAAGTAATAAGGCAAACGTCTTCCAATTTCTGGATTCCAAGTTCTTCTCACGGCGTAGAGACGGATAATGCCGCATAATTGGAGGAGTAAAATATATTTTTAAAAAAAGGAAAAAAATTGTTATGAGGGAAAATAGAGCAGAAATGGCAAAAAGGAATAATGTCATCGCGATAAGGAAAGCAAGATAAACAAAAACTGCATTCGGAGCGCACGGGGCGAAGCACAGGGGGGCTGGGGGGACGGCAAGTGAGAGGAAAGGGGTCGGAGAAGGAGAAAGTGGGTCGCTCGATAGCCCTCGCGACGGTTTGGCTGTCGTAGGCGCTACCCTAAATTTCAGCAAATTGTCGGATATAGCGCGTTCATCCGCGATATCCCGTAAAACGCGGATTGCCGATGCCATCGTTAACACATCGTATCGGCAATCGCTTCGATCGGCTCTCGAGGGGGGAGGCCGAGCGATTCGTCGAGCGCAACGGCGATCGATCCTCTAACTCGCGTGAAGACGCGATCCTATCGCCTAGGATCTATCGTAGCGTGATCGCGCGATCGCTGCAGGGATCAGAAGCGATGCAACTCGATCGCGAGCGACGAGATCCGCGGGTCGAGACCAGTTACGTCACACCATGACCAAGTTACGCCATTTCGCCCGAATACTTTCACCTTTCACCTTTGCCGCCGCCGAAAGTTACGTCACACAATACACAGACGGTCCCGGGAAGATAACGAGGCATTGCGCTTCTAATCGCGCCGTCCGACACGGACAGAAACGAATATCTATTATGCCAAGCATTGTGCCGGCCTCCGCCGTTTCCCGTTTATTCGACTTTTCCGCCGTCGGAGGGTCGGCGGATGTGTATCGACAACCGTCGGCGGAGGGAAAAGCTCGCTTCGAGGCTCGCCGATTCGCGCGATCGAGGTCGCGAATTTAACGCGGCGTCTGACGGGACTCAACTCCAGAAAGAAAACCAGACCGCGTCTGGCGGGATTTGATTCTGGAAAAAAAGACCGTTTAATTCCCAACTGAAGAAACGTTTGCGCTGCAAATAAACGGAGTGGAGATTTACGTTTGCGTGAGCAAAATTTTTGGAGACGCCGATTATAGCGCGAGATACGTCACGTAACCACTCTGAGAAAAATTTCCATTGGATAAATCGATCAAGTGGTGTTTCCGATGGAAAATTAACCATCGGTTTTGCTGATTAAGTTGTCTGATTAAATTATGGACATATTCGATGAAATTTATCCAATGAAATTGCAGTTACCGATGAAATTATATCGAAAATAAGACGATTACTTATATCTTCCATATACAATTTAATTGAATGTATCCATTTGTTAATATGTAATTGGTTAACCGATTAGATAGCCTTGGATGTTTTTATCAGTGCATTTTTTTTATAATTTCTTAATGTAATTTTCCCAAAATTCTGCGATCAAATAAGATCCAACGAGATTATTTTATAATCTAATCACTAAAGTCCTCGACGAGCGATCGCGATTCGGAGAACCAAATATACAAATTGTCTAATTTATCAATATTTTCTAAAGCAAAGTACTTTTACATAATATCAAATGCATTTCTCAAGGTAGAGCCTTCGGCTCTGAAAAAGTTTGCTCTTATCATCCCGGTGACTCCTGAAACTACCGTGGATAAACTCACGACCAGCCGAGCTCTTTTCGCGATACTTTTCTAGCACGGTAATAGGATTCGATTTGACAATCGCGTACGCTCATCTTCGGGAAGAACCATAAGTGCTACCGTTGTAGGAATTCGCCGGTCGGTATCTCGCTATACGATAATACCGCGTATGACCGCCAACATCGTTAAATATATCGGTTTTCTCGCGGCACAGAAAACGCGCGAAATCCGCAGAAGAAAGGGATGAATGGAAGAAACGAGTCTATTTCCCCCAACGCGTCCTGAAAAATAGATGAATTAAAGTGGCTTGAGAGCCATTTCTCTAAAATTGAACGGGAGAAAGTGCCCCGAAAGTGTCCGAGCCCTAAGGGACTTATCAATTTATGAGATTCATCTTTACTTAAATTGGTCCTTGTAACGGCTAAAATAAACGGGATATATAAAGGTATAAAAAGAAATTGAAATTAATCTCAAATTTCGAAGTTCTGCATCAAGAATGTAGAACTTGGCGACCAGTTCATTTTAAATGACCTAATTTTTTGACTCGTGCACCAGCAGCGTGTCTAAGTCTTCGCATAACGATTCCCGAGTCCTATAAAGACAGACTTAACAATTTTGATATGAAAAATTGTCTGCGAGTTGCAACAATCTACTTGCACGATCATGAGTTATTTGACTTAAACCCCAGTAAACGCCAACTAACAGTTACGTAACGTCAATGTTGTAATTTTCTACTCAACAATGTAACTGTTACGAGCAATGTATCGCATTACATTTCGACTGGTCTCTTCGCAAGGTCGTATCTCATTCTGGACCAGAACCCAGCAGTTTAAACAGAAACCCCCGGACATTGTGCAAAATTGAAATACCTTGCGAAAGAGATCAGTCGTTTCATGTTATTGAGCGAAAAATTATAATATTAATATTATATAACTGTCGGTTGTTAACCGGGATACAAGATGTGACTAAAAAAAGGTGCAATATTCTTGCACAACGCGAAATTAAAAAAAAATATCAAGATAAATAACATCAATTAAATACGAGTCGCAAATCGTTACGTCGACAACGCGCGTGGCAAAGCGAATTTCTTTAAAAGCTAGAGAAGTCCCGCGAGAGATTCACGAGATTAGGAGGATTGGAATTTTTATTGGGAATTAGAAGATTTTTTGGCACTTCTTAAACTTACGTAACACGCTCGGGCGCATATATTCCTAGAATATTGAACGAATCGAAAAGATGTCGAGACGCTGCTTCCCGGATGACATGGAACTTAAGGGAGGGGGAGAAAAGAATTTCACTCGAGACTAGCAGACTAGAGAGTCTGTCTCGCTCGCAGACATTTGGTTCTTTTGACAATTAATGGTGTCTAAATACTTTCAATTTTAAGTCTATTGCGAAAAGCAATACCTCAGCCGGGGTTTGAACCTGGACCTCCCTCG